CATGAGACTTACTTTGGCCTAATAAAGCCTTAAATAATAATCTACAAGCCTCAATTATCATTTCAATTTACGTTATCCCAAATTAATAATCTTTAAATCACTCTAACACAAATCATAACTTTAATACCATAATTACATTTCTAAATCCATATGCATAATTAATTCCAAACATAGCGCTATCTCTCGCATTTCTCTAAATCAACATTTGTAATTAATCTCTAGCGTAACACCCATAGCTATAATTGTAGAGCATCTAAGATTACAATTTAAAACAAACATAGGTTTTAACAAATTGCATGGAAATAAGTTACACGACCAAAGTGTCGAATTCATGAAAGGCAACCTAAAAGAAGCAATAGGTAATCTCTTAATATCTTACAAAATTAAAATAATAAGGGGTACGCAATTAACGAACTTAGTGAGTAAACATTATATAATATAGTAAAGGAGGAAAACGGACTAAGGACGATATTCTCAAATTCATGTCAAAATACAATGCCTATTTCTCAAAACACATGTATATCGAAAACATATCTTGTATCAAAAATGGAATGGTTTAAAACCATTTTGGTATCAAATCATTGAAACATTTATACATACTTATATCGTACTCATACAATGTGCGAGTGGCTCGCTATATGCAAAAGAGAGCCTAACATGCGATAGTGGCCTATCATGTGTGAAAGAGAGAGCCGATGTACAAGAAAAGCTCGTAGCCTTATAGGCCTACCGGGTGTTAGCTGCGTGTGGGGAGGCTCGGTGTGTGTGTATGTTTACCGGGCGTTGGCTACGGGCGAAAGAGGCTTGTATTGGTAAGGCGTTGCATTAGTGAGGGGCTATATTTATTGGCTTATGGGAGGAAGTTTTGAATGGTTATGATTGTTTACGATGGGGCTACTAGGGAGGTTGTGAGGTCTGGTGTGTGGAGCCATGGGGCTAGGTGAGTTTGAAAGGCTATGGATGTGCTTAAGGTAAAGCTTGGACGAGGTTATGAAGCAATGAGAAGGTTGTTATAGGTGGTGTTTTGGTGCAAAAGAGAGGGCATCAACTCGGGTGTAAAAATGAGGACGATGAACAATGTAGGGTATATGAAAATATAAGAGGGCTTTTTGTAGGTAGTTTTTTTTTTAAAGTCCAATTTGGTCTTTGGTTCTCTACAATTCATTGATTTAAGTCCGATTTTAATTATTTATTTCGATGAGGCCCTTAAATCTCGATTAATAAGGAATTTTTTTTATTTTTTTTAATTATGTCCCCTCTTCATTTTAATTAAAGGATAAAAATTTTGATTTTTTTTAATTGGACCCTCAATTGCCCTTTTTTATTATTTCTAAACTTTCTATTTTTTTAATTAGCCCTCTTCTTAGAATTATTATAAGCTAATTATGCCAATAGATTTTTTTTCTTTATTTTCTCGCTCTCCTCTTTTTTATATATATATACTTGGCATTTTTGTTTTGTTTATCATCTTTTTTTTGTATTTTTGTAATAAAAAGTAAAAAAAATAAGAAAGAAGGATAAAATAGGTAAAAATTAGGTGTTAACGGAATCATTGGTAATAAATCGTTACCTAATATTCAATATGCGATAGTATAGTTAAAAATATCATCGAAGTTTTTGGTATACCGTTAGGGTTCAAGAGAGGAATTATGGCTTTTTCAAGTCTACTAGAGGAGTCAACCAAGGGGACCTTTTATCTCCTCTAGTGTTTATTCCGGTTCAACACGTTCTCTCATATTTTTTGTATAATGCTCGTCGGAAAGGACATATCATTCCCTACATGGTAGAAGGAAGTGATGATATAGCCATTACACATTTGTTTTATGTAGATGATATGTTGTTTTCTCTAATGGGTCTAAACAATCAATTCTTCATCTTAGATAATTGATTATAGAGTACGAGGAATCTTCATATCGATTCATCGAATTTATCCAAGAATGGGTTTTATACCTCAAAGAAAATGCCTAATCGTTGTATTGCTTTACTCAAGGCATGAACTGGGTGTAATCACCTGTGTTTCCCCATAAAATATCTTGGAGTGCCTTTGTTTCATGGTTGGATAAAAAGTAAATGTTTCCAATTTATAGAGAAATCTTTGACAAATAAGATAGGAAGGTGGAAATCAAAATATCTATCTTTTGGAGCTCGGATTACTCTTTTAAAAACGATACTTAAGTAGTATCCCTATTTACACTATTTTTGCTATCCTTTTGCCAAAAATGGTTATCCAAAGACTTGAACAGATTATGGCTAATTTTTTTGGAGCTTGGCGGGATAGTCTAAGCATCACTATGTATCTTGAGATAGAGTGTGTAGACTTTTTTCGGAAGGTGGCTTGGGTATTCATAGCTTATCACAGAGTTATGGATGTTTTACATACTAAACTTGGTTTTGTCTTATCTTCGAGGTCATAGTTTTTGAGCTGAGATCACGAAAGCCAAATGTGATCCTTCTTTCTAGTATTTTTCTTATTCCTCTTATATTTGGAAGGTTATTTTTAACCACCTTACTATTTTAAAGGTTGTACTACTTGGATGGTGAGCAAGGATTCAATTCTATTTTAAAGGTCTAATTAGTGTGGTACTATTTTGAATCCCCCTTTACCCATAGACTATAATCTATCGATAAAAGAGGCTCTTGCATGTTTAGATGATTTCCTCCTATTCATTCTTTTTTAATACCATGATTCCGTAAAGGCTATTCATTTAGAAGAAGGTTTAAAGGATAAGATAGCTTTTAGTTTATCTAAGAGAGGTTGTTTTGAATCCAAAACCTATTGGAATTATTATAGACAAGCAACGTCCATGGGTTTGGTAGGCTAAATCTATATGGCATTCCTACATTTCTCTTAAACTAAGGGGTTTTATCTAGAAGTGGTTTCATGGGGCTCTCCTAATGGATTCCAAGATTAAGGATTTGACCATTCCTATGGTCTTCATCTCAGTAATGCTTTGTGTCGTATAGAGAGGAGTCGATTGTTCATCTCTTTTTGCATTCGAAGTTAGTTCTACAGTTTGGGCTAAGCTAGCACCTTATTTTGGTATAAAGAATACATATGTCTCTTCTTCGACCTCTTTCATGCCTGGATGGCCTCCACTTTGACACAAGTGAGCATATGTCGGGTAGCTACACTTTTCTTTTTTCCTTTAATCGATATGAAAATATAGATGCAAGGCAAGATTTGACGAGGCCCCTATGTTTGTTAATAGCATTTTTGATCGAGTACGTCGTCATCTTACTAATATGTGTATTATTTTTAACCCTAAATCTTTGTCTAGTGTTTCTTTAGTGTAGAAACTTTAAGCTTTTGGTTTGTCAATCATATTAGTGCCTTTTGACAAAGGTAAATAGCTTAGTTGGTCGTTATCCTTGGATGATTGCTATAAGCTTAATATGGATAGATCTTTTATAGATAGTCGTTACACTTAGTAGTGGTGTTATCCGTAAATCAAGAGGGCAATTCATGACAACATTTGCAAATAATTATGGCACAAGTACAAATACAAGAGCAGAACTTCTAGCTTTGTGTGACTGGTCTTCTACTTTGTCAAAAGCTTTCTCTTAATAATATTATCGTGGAGGCCGACTCAAAGCAAGTGGTTCAAGTTATTTTAGAGCTTTTCTCGTTTCCTTGGATCTATACTTACCATGTAAGGCGTTGTTTCTCTTTACTTTTGGGACTCTCCCTTTCTAATGTATACCGTGAGCAAAATATGGTTACAAATAAGTTAGATTATCATGCATATTCCCTTCAAGGTAAAAATGTCTATTTTTCTTTCTCTAGTTTATTTTTAGAGGTTAAATTATCTTTTACATACGATAGATTTGGTTTATATAATTATAGAAGTTGAGGTGGTTTTTTTTTTCCACTTGTAACACGAGTTTTTTTTTTAAGGGTTTGGACTTCTTTATCCCCAATTTATTTGGATAAGGCTGAATTGTTCCTCTTTTGTATTTTTTTAATTAATAAAATTTATCCAGATTTCACCTCTGTTTTTTTTTTTAAAAAAAAACAATATCACCAAAGAGGCCTTTGTTCATGGATGCATGATGTATGAGGGAGTGGCCTGATTTGGCCATCCAGTTGGTGAGCTCGGGATGTCATCATGTCATGTAGGAGTTTTTAGTCACTTGCTTGATTCGGCATCATTAATGATGAACAAGATCTATCTAATAATTTTTTTTTAAGGTTTTAACCCATGAGTTTTGCGTATCATTTTATTTCGATGCTGAATTCTAAAAAAAATTGTAAGAAATTAATTTATTATAAATTCACTATTTGAATGTGAATGACCAACTTAAGATTCGATCAAAAAGAAATTCAATATCAATTTATTAAGAAAAAAAAGTCCAAAGATAATTATATCATTAAGTAAAAAAAATGTGAAAATTATTTTCAACATCTCAAAAGTACTTTGTTGTAACATTTTATTTTTTTATTTATTGTCCAAAATTAATCACCTTCACGTTAAGGCATAGGAATATACGTGTCAATGTGTGTCTTATCGACCCAAAAAAAAGTGTGCGCGTTGGGGTCTTCGGGGTGTTAAGAGTACGCGTTCGGTCCAATTTTCAAAAGTATAGTTATGGCTACAATTCAAATAATCGATTAAAAAAAAAATCAATTTCTAAATGTTGCCAACCGTAGATCATTTCATGGTCTAGCTTTCAGGCAGACCAAAAATCTTTATAGGAGCAGAAAGCCATAGAATATACCTCGGATTCGTAATTATTAACGGGAAAAATGGACACTCGAGGCATTACAAAATTTTTCTCCCAAATATAAGCAAAGAAAAATTGGTGGACGCAATTGGCTTTGGATAACGTGGCATGGATCCTCCAATAGCAAGAAGTCCATGTAAGCAACTCCTCCCTCACAAAAACCTCTGCTCTACTCTACTCAGGACCCTTGAAAGGCCTGCCTGCACTTGCAAATATTACATATATGCAAGCTCGTTACTGATTTTGCATTCCAGTTTTCTCCTTCAATTTCCAAGAAAATGGCAGTATCGGCCGATGGCCGGTTCTCTCTCTCAGCTGCAGGCCAGTTACATGGCTCCACTGGAATATTAGGAAGGAGGAGATATTGCTCGAGACTTGTGAAGTTTGGCAATGGAGAGTTTATGGGAAATAAGCTGAAGTTAAACCAACTTCGTCAAGGAACTAGTCCTCCTATTAGAATTCCTAAGCAACAAATTTGGATGTCTCTCACTACCGATATAGCAGCAGAGTCCAAGGTTAGCTCATTAAGCTCCATCTTTCTTTAGCAAACACACACAGCAACTATATATATATATATATTGCCAAGTGGCTAATAATTAAGGAGGAGGACTTGAGATGTAACAAACATGATCAGTCATTTCATAACCAACGTTAAAGCATTCGAACCATTGCATTACGCAGTTGAGGGACCTAGAGATGGAAAAAAGGGATCCTCGGACAGTTGTGGCAGTTATTCTCGGGGGAGGAGCCGGTACTCGTCTTTTCCCACTCACAAAGCGCCGTGCCAAACCTGCTGTAAGCCTTTCTTTTTATCACATTTTTCATTAACTTCATATATATATAAATATTAAGTCTTGCATGTTCTTGGTGGGACCTTTTCATTAAGTTTTGTAGGGCTACCAAGCAAATTTGATACTTGGAACTGTATGGTTCGATACATAAACATTACTTGAGATATATTGTTAGGTCCCAATTGGAGGCTCATACAGACTGATAGATGTGCCAATGAGCAACTGCATTAACAGTGGAATCAACAAAGTATACATCCTCACTCAGTTTAACTCAGCATCACTGAATAGGCATCTTACTCGTGCCTACAACTTTGGTAATGGAGTCAATTTCGGAGATGGCTACGTCGAGGTAACTACACTGTTTTTCTTTCTTTTTTTTCAAATAAGCAAGTGATTATTTTCGTAAACGGAAGAAAAAAATGACTGCTGTCTACATATAAACTGGGAGCATAAATTTGCCTTGCTCGCCAATGTTCTGATGAAATGAGAGTAAGAGGTATTTTCTAAAAAAATCAGTCAGTTTGTTTCTCTCTGTCATTAGGCTCTGGCAGCTACTCAAACTCCTGGAGAGGCAGGTAAAAGGTGGTTCCAGGGTACTGCTGATGCTGTGCGGCAGTTTCATTGGCTTTTTGAGGTACTCATTTATATATCAGATGCTATCTGCACATGAAATTCTACTAGCTTAAAATGAACTCTTAACCATAGACAATTCTTCTCTGTAACAATCTGAAAACATACTGAAGAGGATGAGGAAGAAAACAAACGAGTATATCTAGTTCGGTGTTCCATTTAACTTCTACTCTGTACCACGAGCACGCACAGAATTCTGGTCAGGATTTCCCTTTATTAGAATCTTTAAAGGGAATCAGGGTGATTCACTGAGTCTGAGGACATATCCACATTTTCCCTTCCTTGCCCTTTTGTTGCAAAAACTGGCCTGCGCGCAGCTTACAAACACATCCATCTTTACCCTTTAGAGTCACCATTAAGCCTGTCTCCGCCTTCATTGGTCACTAATTTATGAAGGTTTACATTCAATTTAAGCGCTCTCAATCCATTAGCAACTTTTCCAACAATAACACCAAATTATGATGGATTCTTCAAGTGATCATTAATTGAATCAAACTCGAGAACGTTATTAGCCAGATTTCTGATTTTGTCAACGGGATAAAGGAGGTAATTGATGCACCCAAGTGAGCTAGACGTTTCCACTCATCAGCTCCCGATTTTTTTCTTTTGCTTCATAACTGATACAACTCAAAGCAGGTAGCGTGAAAAATAGAGAAAAACAAGGATTGCGGACTTTGATAATTTATTTACAGCCAAAGGGTTACTGTGTCCAAACAAGATTAAACAATATTCTGTAAAGAATGCTGCATGACAATACGCTGTGCATAGAAACAAGAGTTTAATTGGTATTGCATCGAAGCAGAGGCAGAATCGAAGTGGCCAGAGGTTACCCAAACAAGAAAAGTTCGCTTCCTTGTTTTTGAGCCAGTGATACCTTTGTGATTCCTTGTCTTGGAGATTTCTTTTCTCCCTCAATCTTAAGGTAACAGGAATCCTCCAAGTTCCAGATATTGGAAGAAACAACAATAACATCGTATGAAACACTTCAGCTGGAAAGTTTATGGCCACATAGTGCTTTATGTTGCTTTAGAAGATAAACTACGGCTTACCTGTAATTTATGGACCATCAAGACTCTACATAATTGACAAGTTACTGCTAAGATATTATACTTTTGTCTCTCTGCTATTTTCCTCTATCCTGAATTTAGTGATTTAAGAGCAAACAGTGAGAAAATCTAAAACTTTTGTGGATGTTACGCGTATGTTTTCACAATGTGCTTCACTTTATAGGACCAAAGATGTAGGGAAATTGAGGATGTGCTAATTCTTTCTGGAGATCACTTGTATCGAATGGACTATATGGACTTTGTGCAGGTAAGGAGAAGTACATTTCACTAGACATGGTTTTTATTCACTAAATTGAGCCTGGCATCTAAGTGCTACTTAATCTCTCAGTATCACACATTAATGTTCGTCTCTTATCTCCAGAATCATCGGCAGAGTGGTGCAGATATCACTCTCTCTTGTTCACCAATGGATGACAGGTCTGTTTAAGTTTAATCCAAGCTAAGCTTCTTCCAGTAGCAATTTCTCATCTCAAGATACTCTACTCCGATATTCACTCTGTTGTCAATTTGCTTATATCTACTCATGGCATATTTAATATCTTAGTTCATGATACAAATTAATGGATTATATTTTTGAGACTTTCCACTGTTTACATGATAGCCGTGCCTCAGATTTCGGTCTCATGAAGATTGACAATAAGGGGAGGGTCCTTTCATTCAGTGAAAAACCTAAGGGGCGTGACCTGAAGGCAATGGCAAGTTTCTGAATTTTTTTTTTTTTTTTGTTGGACCGATCTATAAATCTGAGTGGTTATGCACTTATGCTTATGCTAAGCTCACCGCACGCTTCAGGCAGTCGATACAACAGTATTGGGGCTTTCGAACGAAGAAGCTATAAAGAAACCATACATTGCTTCAATGGGTGTGTATGTGTTCAAGAAGGAGATACTTCTGAACCTTTTAAGGTACTAGCCATTTGGAGTTATTTGTCATTTTCAGCTATTGAGCATTTGCAGTTATTTTTACTTTTTGTGTGATTTCGCTAGAATTTAAAAACAAGAAATGAAAAGAAAAGATAAGAAAAGAAAAATCAATGCTCTTCCATGTGCGTAAACATGCATACAAACATATGCTATATCTAATTAAATCGAGTAAAGGACTACTGATCCGCGCTATAAATTGTTGTTGAGTTAGATGGCGTTTTCCAACTGCAAATGATTTTGGATCAGAGATAATTCCAGCTTCGGCAAAGGAATTTCACGTTAAGGTATGTACTGAATTCTTTTGCAGTCTGGCTTGATCAATTTCAAAACCAGTCTGTCATACCACCCAAGGTATTCACCCATTATGTCTCGTAAGAGATTATCCCGCTATATTTACATATAATGAACACATGCATTGATGCATATTTGCAGACGGCTAAATTTTTTTAAAATGTTCACCTTGGACTTCTGGGCAGGCTTATCTCTTCAATGATTATTGGGAAGACATAGGAACCATCAGATCCTTCTTTGAAGCAAATCTTGCCCTCACTGAACATGTAAGTACCTGAACAAATCTCCGCACTTGTCCTAATCTTTTAGGGCACAAATAGGTTACATTTGGATTGAAAGAAGTAAAGTCAAGAAACTGCACCCTCTACGAAACTCATAACTTGACAATTCCTAAAAACATGAAATTTTATCTAGGCTATGGATGATAATATCACACAATAATACAATCTAAAAATGATGCAAACAGCTGCTAGAACCCAATCCTGATTGCTCCTTTCCTGTTGAAAGCATATTAAACGTGATTTACTAATATACATGATTCAGACGTAATGATGCCACCTTAATAACTTTTCAGCCACCAAGGTTTAGTTTCTACGATGCAGCAAAGCCAACGTATACATCACGAAGAAACCTACCCCCATCCAAGATTGACAATAGTAAGGTTAGTAAAAGGGTGCTCCTGTTGCTCTTAAAGCCCCCTAATTGACAAGTTACGTCTCATGTGTTCTCCTTATTGTTACTTTTGTCATTTCATCCAATTATTCTTGTGCAGATTGTTGATTCAATCGTCTCTCATGGAAGTTTCTTAAACAACTGCTTCATCGAACATAGTGTAATTGGTATCAGATCTCGAATAAACTCAAATGCCCACTTAAAGGTTTGTTGATTATATTCTTTCAATTATAGCTTCTATAAGTAAGCTAGTTGCTGGATACTGCACTAAGGATTTTTATAGTAAGAAAACTGCCTTTATGTAAAACATGTTCGGCTTGCTATTTCTAGAATCGAAGTTCTACTGTCTCTGTACTAATTGTTTTGGAGTACACATCTTCCCTCATAAACCCAAATTCTATGATGGCCTAACAAATGCAGGATACAGTAATGCTTGGTGCTGACTTTTACGAAACTGACGATGAAGTGGCATCACTGCTTGCTGAAGGAAGAGTACCAGTTGGGATAGGAGAAAATACAAGAATCAAGTAAGGACAAGCTTATATCGAACCTGTGGCAGCTTTTAAACACACTAAATGAAATTGTTTTATTGTTTCTTAATTTTGTTTTGCAGAGAATGTATAATTGATAAAAACGCCAGAATTGGGAAGAATGTTGTTATTGCAAATTCGGAGGTATGATTCAACAAAATGCTTATTCCAGAAGGTGTTTGAGATATAATTTAGTAAATAGAAAGAAGATTAAAAAAACACACACACACACACACAATTTCACTATTTAAAAACCCTATTTTGAATCTTAAGTCAAGATTTGATCATTTTGATTCACCTAGTCGCATTTGTTCTGAAAGTAAATGGTTAGTGATTCAATTGCTTCTCCCTTGTGTTTTTGGCAACTGAATCAAGACATTGTCAATAATCAAGCAGTTTTGATTAAAAATATTGACTTACTAGTTGCCAATTTGTGTTTATGAATGGATTTGCAGGGCATACAAGAGGCTGATAGAACTTCTGAAGGCTTCTACATTCGATCTGGAGTTACAATCATATTTAAGAACTCAGTTATTCAAGACGGAACCGTAATATAATTGATTTTTTCTCTTCCCTCCTGTTTTTGTCGATCAGGACGGGCTTGAAGTAAAAAAGAGATGCGAAACCCTTGTAATACAATCTCAGTTCCATAGTGTCGACTCTAAAAGGTTTTCACCCAAGTTAACTGAAATTCAAGAAACCCATCCTGTATCTCGTGCGGAACTCAAACGACAGCAAGAAATTACTGGCATGCTGGGAAAGAAGATCTTTAGCATAAATTTTCTTTTCCAAAATTGTCAATACTTTCTTCCACTAATTTTCAGATCACTTAACTGAATATCCTTCACATGTGACTTTTTTAATAATTTTTAAGCATTTTTAAAATTATCATCAATCTTTCATTCACATCGTACGAAAAAACGCTGCCAGCCAAGTTTGTAAATTCAAATATTATTATTATTACTGTATAACTAAAGTAAAACGGGCATTTAAACAGTAATAAATAGTGATAAATATCGTTCATTATTGTAGTTTAGTTTTTTTTTAAAAAAAATTTTAAGTTATTTCATTTTGGTTCCTAAATATTTAAAATAAATATTTTAATCTCTTAACTCATGCACTACACATGCCTTTTCTTCTTCTTCTTTTCTTTGGCTTTTTTTTCCTTTATTTTTTTTTCATCAATTTATATTCTTTTTTACTTAATTGGGTGTTAAAATTTTAAAAAATTAATTTTTCTTTGCTTTTTTATAGTATTTTTTGTTATTTTTTTTTATAAAAAAACGCCATCACTGTTCATCAACCTTGGGTGTCCCATTTTGTTTTAGTTTTTTTTGTTAATTATTTTTATTATTTAAAATTTACTACTTTAATTTGTTATTTTTTTTAAATTCTCATTTAATTTTTTTTAAATTTATTATTTATATTTACTGATAATTTTGATTTATTTTTCTATATGTATGGATTTTGGAATAAAATTTTTGAACATGATTTTTTAAAAAAAATAATAATAAATTTAGATAACTTCTAAACGATTTTATATATTTTATCCAACCAGTAATGTAGCGTGAGCAAAAAAACTAATACTACATACTAAAGTAAAACGCTTTTTCATCGTAGCAATGAACAATGTTAATCATGTTCATTGCTACAATACTTTGGCTTCTTTTTTTTTAGTTTTCTTTTTTTTTTTTGGTCGAACCCGCTGGTCTCCTCCCTACTCGTTTACTATTCATTTGAACAAGTAAAGGCTTGTCCTCCTTTTTTCTTTTCTCTCTCTCTAAACACTGAATTTTTTTTCCACCCGTTTACTCGTTCACATGAACCCGGCCTCCTTTTTTTTTTTTCTAAACATTGAATTGTTTTTTTTTTTTTAATTTTCGTTTCTTAATAATATTGGGTGTTAAAATTTTAAAAGAACCAACAATTAATTGGGTATTAAAATTTTCAAGAAATCAACAATTTATTTCCTTTATTATTTATTTCTAAAATTTAAAAACACAAATAAGAAATAGTTAAATACAAAATTTTCATTAAAAAATTAAAATTATTTTTTATCATAAAACAAATTATTAAACTGAAATAATTTTTCTATATGATTTTATATATTTTATCCAACCTACGACGTAACGTGGGTAAAAAATCAGTACTATATACTAAAATAAAATGCTTTTCATCGTAGCAATGAACAGTTTAATCACTGTTCATTGCTACAAGTACTTTGGCATTTTTTTTTAAGTTTTCATTTTTGTTTTTTGCCAGCACCCGCTTGCCTCCCCCTCCCGTTTATTGTTCATTTGAACAATAAAGGCTTGCGCTCCTTTTTTTTTTTTTTTTCTCTCTCTCTAAACATTGAATTTTTTTTTTAATTTCCATTCGTTTACTTTTCACATAAACAATGAACGCTGGACTCCTTTTTTTTTCTAAACGTTGAATTTTTTTTTAATTTTTGTTTCTTAGTAATATTGGGTGTTAAAATTTTAAAAGAACCAACAATTAATTGGGTGTTAAAATTTTAAAGAAATCAATAATTTATTTTCTTTATTATTTATTTTTAAAATTTAAAAACGCAAATAAGAAATAATTAAATACAAAATTTTTATTAAAAAATTATAATTATTTTTTATCATAAAACATATTATTAAACTTAAATAAATTTTTTATATGATTTTATATATTTTATCCAACTCACAACGATAACGTGAGTCAAAAATCTAGTTGTAACATATACTAAAAGAGAATGGTGTTTCAGTGCAGCTAAGGCTATGCTACAATGAGTTTAAAACGACGTCGTTTTTAAAACAAAAAAAATAATGATTTTTTAATAATTTTTCAATTATTTACATTTTGATCCTTCAAGTTATTAATTTACATAAAGCTATCCCTAATTTTAATTAATATTATAAAAAAAGTCCCTATAATTTTTTTTGCTGGAGTGGGTTTTTTTTTCATTATTTATTATTTAATTAAAATAAATTTTTTTCATAATTAATGGTTTTTTTTTTCTATTTTTATAAATATTCATTGACTAAAATTAAATATTTTTCTAATATAAATTGATTAAACACCTCCTTTTAATTTGATTTTTTAAAAAATAAATAATTAATTGCATGTATTTTTTATTTATCAAAATAAAAAATATTCCTAAGATATATATATATATATATATATATATATATATATATATATATATATATATATATATATTAAAAAAAATTACAATAAGAGTTAATTAACTTTTATTTTATGTTTATACTTTAAAATTATTTAAAATATTAAAATATAGATATAATATATTTATCCACGACAATGCGTGGCTACTAGGCTAGTTGGAGCTATAGAAAAATCTCTTCACAGTCTAAAATCATATCTTTACTAAACAAAACGCTTCTCACAATACTAATATTGGTAGTATTATATTTCTCATCCAAAATAGGTTTCCTACCTGTTCTTTCCAGCTCGATGAAGATAATCTACAGCAGTTCTTGGCAGATCGAAGTTGTAAATGTGAATTGTTCCTCCTTTCTGTCTCACTTCCTGTATCCAATAAATAAATACATCAAAACCAGCAAATATGGACAAATGATGTTAAATATGCTGACATAAATAAAGTTTTTTTTTTTTTTCCTTCATTGCATCTAACACTCGGCACTCTTGCCAATTTCTGTTACCTTTCCCTTTGACACTGCGCTGAGACTAGAAAGCGTCATGCCAATTTCTACATTAAAGAACCAGACAATACTTACTGATAAGGAAGCTTCTTGTGAATTAAAATTCATGTCTTCCTCCAGAAGAAGGATATACGAACAAGCCCCATATGAAGTTCTCGGAAAATCCACTAAAACAGCTGCTGGTTGAGCATTCCCAGCGCTTTTTGACTTCAGGCTGCATGAATAGAAACGAAATGATTTAATTCACTGGAAACGTGTCCTCTTATGGAAGCAACATAAAGATAAATAATTGGGTGAATTACTTTTAAATATAGTGTGAGTCGAGGGCATGAACACTTTACACATCATATTTTTTAAAAAAAATTATATTTTACATTTTTAATATTTAAAGATAAATGGAGTGAATATATATATATATATAAAACTCCAATGGTTAAGCACTATTCTCACTCAACCCTCTCTCTTCTCTTATTTCTCTAGTTCCTCGTTTCACTCTTTTTGAAGAAACAGAAAGCTTATAAAAACTCTAATTTTTCCACAAAATCTTGTTTAAAAAGATAGATTTCTTTGATCTTGGTTGATTGATTTTTTCAATTAAACCTCTGCCAAGAGGAATCCAATTTGAAAAACTCTTAACCCTAATATTTGAATTTTTTGAAAAAAAATAACAAAAACGCATAAAATATTTAGATGAACTTTACATTTGTAGAATATATAGCAAAACCCCTAAAAATATTGTGTTTTAAAAGTTTTTAAGTTGTGTTACTAATATTTTAATATTGATTCTTTTTTTTTTTTTTTTGAAATTGATTTTTAATGATGTTATTAAGGGTATTAAAGTCTATATAGGTAGGCATGGTGTTGTAAATACTAGTGAGGGTAGTAATGTCCGAGTTAAGTGAGGTTAGTCCGAATTTTAATAAAGAGACAGTTGTAGAGTCAAAGGAAGAGCCATATGATGATGTTGAAGATGCTGAATATTGGGTGAATGTAGAGTGGGTATTTGATGATGGGGAATCAAAAGAAGTTAGAGAAAAGGCTAAAAAGATAAAAGTAGTCTCGGGTAAAGTTAATGCAACTGTAGAGGGAAATTTAGAGAGAAATGTGGAAGGAACTACAGGAGGCGAGTTGGGTGGAAATAGAGGGAATAATTCTAAGAAGAGAAGGAAATTAATCGTAGAGTTGGCAAAACTAGAAACTCGAATTGAATGAGTATTACAATTAAGAAGAAATGAAGAAATGCATATCTAATAGTAATGAACAACTCGAAATAAAAAAGAGAACCAAATTAGTTATCTTTGGCCTAACAACTAAGTTTTCTTATTTTCAGCTTTGCATGATTTTCAAGAACAAGAAAGAAGTTAAAGTCTGTTATGATTAAGTATGTTATCCATAGTAGGAGAGATTTAAAGCTTTAGAAAAATGACAATTATAGATATAAGACAATTTGCAAAGATGAAAGTTGTCCTTGGAAGCTACCGATTTTTATTCATAGGAAAAGTAAAAAATGGATGGTGAAGACCTAGTGTGAAGAGCACACTTATGATTGGTCTTTTACAAATTTTAGGGTTAGGTACAAAGTATTTGTAGAGTATTTTATGAAAAAACTTGGAAGAACCGCATTGAATTAAGAAGTTGCATGAGATTGTACAAGACACTATGGAAGATCCGAAAGTCAATATTACAATTTCACAAGCCAAGCATGCTAAGAACTTAATGAATCCGCTATATGCCGGAGATATACGGAATGAGTTTCGAAGGCTTGAAGATTATGCGAATTGAATTGAGGAGATATAATACAAATAATACTCGTCATTCTTAAGATAGAAGAAGATGATGAAGGTTTGAATAGGTTCAATATATATATATATATATATATATATATA